TGGAATAAAAAGTGTGAGAAAGAGAGGAGAGCGGTCATTTATGTGGTGTTAGCAGAAATCAGATGCTTTCAGGTTTATAAATGCAGTTTTCACTGGAGTGGGTGCCCTGATAGGGAATAAATTACAGTGGTGATAAATGCTCAGCAGCAGCAGGGAAACCACACAGGGTGCTGGGTGTCCCCTCTGCCTGCCACAGGAGACTTAGAGGCATTGGCCCCCAAAATGAAAATGAAATGAAATTCAAATGAAATTCAAATGCAGTAGCTATCAAAGCACAGCCCTGAACAGAGGTTTGTGCTCTGAGAAGGGATGGGAACTTCTTGGACCAGCCTTGGCTTCTTTGGAGCCACAGACCTGCGGTGGGATCCTGGATTCCTGCCCCAAATTGTGGGTGGCAGCCCAGAGGGCAGGCAGGGGAGGGACCCAGGGAAGGGAAAACCCACACAGGGCTTGCCAGAGGCTCCCTGGGGCACTGCTGGGGGCAGGTTCCATCCTGTGCCCACCTATCCCACAGCATCTCCCTCAGGAGCCACCAAACTCCAGCTGGGAAGGTGAAGCTGCCCATTTCCTTGAGCCTGAGGTGTGGATGCCAACAGCTCAGGAGGAGAGATGCAGAAAGGGCAGGTGATTTGCAATCATTTTGCTCAGAGCAGACAGAAACCTTCCAGCTCTTTCTGTTGCCACCGAGTTCTTGTTCTTTCTTGCCACTCCCTTTCCCATTGGAAGCTTTCCACGGCTCTGCCCGTGGTGCCACTCTCAGGTCTCTGCTTTATCCCTGCCTGCTGCGATCAGAAAAACACAGCCCAGCCCCTCTCTGAGCCTCCTGAGCTCTGCAGGAAATCTGGAAGTTGTCTGAACCCCATGAGGGCTTTGGGGCAAGCAGGTGACTTGACTTGGCTGAACAATCCCAATTCTCTTTGCCTTTTCTCCTAAAATTGGCTGAACAATCCAAATTTGCATTGCCTTTTCTCCTGAAAAAGAAGAATTGGGGTTGGAAAAGATGAGAGAGTTGGGGTTGTTCAGGCTGGAGAAGTGAAGCTTTGTGGTGACCTCGTTGTGGCCTTGCAGGGCCTGAAGGAGCTGACAGGAAAGATGGAGAGAGATTTTGGACAAGGGATGGAGGGACAGGACAAGGGAAGGGAATAAAACTGATAGAGGGCAGCGATAAATGGGATATTGGGAATAAAATCCTTCCCTGTGAGGGTGGGGAGGGACTGGGATAACCCAAATTCTGGGATTTTATGACTCTGATCTGACTGCCCACAGCAGGGAACCACTAAAAACCCAAAGGATGTCCTTGAGAGCCTCCTGCTCACAGGGCAAGATGCATAACCAGAGGTTATAAAAACAGAAGAGGTTTTAAACTTGGCTTAAAAAAAAATCAGATGTTTTAAACTTGGTTTTTAAAAAACTTTAAAAAAAACCAAAACAGATGTTTTAAACTTGGTTTTTAAAAAACTCAGGTGTTTTAAACTAGGTTTAAAAAAAACCCAGATGTTTTAAACTTGGTTTAAAAACACCAACATCTCCTCGCCCTGTGTGTTCATGCCGATTTTGGAAAAGCTGGCACTGACCAGCTGGAGCTGAAAGGGAGAGAATGAAAGTGCAGTCCCACACTTGTGCGTGTGTGAGCTGCTGGCTCTTAACCCTTTTCCTTCCAGGAATTGTCACCATCCCCATGGCAGCTCCAGAAGCATGTTCTCACACCTCTGGCAAGTTTTATTAACCATTAACTCCCTTTCCCTGGAGATATCCAAAGAATGGGAGCTGTGGAGAGCAGCAGATAACTGGGAGATTAATAGGAAAGTCTTAGCTTTAGGAATATATTGTTGTTTGGTCACTTTGAGCACTCACACTAGTTACTCCTCATTAATCTGAAAATTCCTCCTCATTAATATGAAAATTCCTCTACATTTATTTGAAAATTCTGTCCCATTAGTCTGAAAATTCCTCCTTTTTAATCTGAAAATTCCTCTTTATTAATCTGCAAATTCCTTCCCATTAATCTGAAAATTCCTCCTCATTAATCTGAAAATTCCTTTCCATTAATCTTAAAATTCTTTCCCATTAACCTGAAAATTCCTCCTCGTTAATCTGAAAATTCCTTTCCATTAATCTTAAAATTCTTTCCCATTAATCTGGAAATTCCTCCTTGTTAATCTGAAATTCCTTCCCGTTAATCTGAAACCACCTCCCCACTGCTGTCTTTGAGCACAAAGCTGACTGATGGCTTGAGAAGGAAAAATACGGAATATTGCTGTGTCACAAACAGTGCAGATGTCCCCGACATTCCCTGCATTTCTGGAAGATTATCCACAGTCCTGGGTGGTGGGGACAGGTCCCTGCATGGCGCTGGACCTGCGTGCTTGGAGAAAACAGGGAATGTGCCAGGTGCACATTCAATATCAGACGAACATTTCCTGAACATTTGAAGGCCTTTGACCCTGCTCTGAGAGCTCAGAGCTCCCTTTTTACCAACAGCGCATTTTATTGGGTCTGAAAGTTCAGCTGGGAGCTAAAGATGCTTTAAATTAGGCGCCTTAATTTGGTGAGAACCGAGCCACATGGAATATAGCCTTGGAAGGGAGTTTTCCTTGGCAGAATTTGTGGGTTGCTGTTGGATTGGGAGTTCGATACAGCTCCTGCTAGAAGTGGATTTCTGTTTGGAATTCAGTAACTCAGGATTTCTTCACCTTGCTCCCCACATCCCCCTCCTGCAGCAGCAAGGACTGAAAATATATTTAGTTTTTTCCAAAATACAGTGACTGGCTGGTGATTTGCCTTTAGGATAAGCCTAACTAAGGCAGTCTGAAATCTTAAATGAAGATTTTGGACACAAAATATACACTTACAAATGTGGTTGGGGGTGTGAGTTCCACTCTTCTCAGGTACATAAAGTCTAAATCCAATTTCCTCTGTCCAACCTCATATCCCTCCCATGGACAAACCCTTTTTTTTTTTTTTTGAGCAGAACTGCACATCTGTAGATCCCATTTGCTTGCAAATCTATTTATTTGCTCTCTCAAGTCTTATCAAACGTGCAATCTTCTCTCAGTGGAATTTTCCCTGGATTTGCCCATTCCCTCTGTTACCAAGGTGGGTTCATTTTCCCTTGGAGATCCCAGCTCTAGACCTATAAAGATCCAGTTCATGCCTAAACCCCAGGAGGTTACTGGGAATGGGGAAACCACCTTTTCCTGAGGAATTTTTTCCAGTTGACTTCATGGTTAGGGAAGAAAGGCAAACTCATGCCAGTTTACATGCATGGAAATGGCGAGACCCAAAAAAATAAAAGCCCAGCGTGTTATTTATGGCATTTCTTCTCCTCTTGTGGAAAGCTTTGATTCCCCCAGCCCGTGTTTTCTTTGCAAGTACAATACAATTAAGCCATTTTCAGCTGGCAATAAAATCCTTGAGAACCAAAGCAGATTTGGCCACTTGAAGAGATGAGGACTAATGCAATCTGATAATTAGGTCCTTTCAGCGCCAAGACAGAAAAAGCAATTTAATAAGTCTCCCATGGAGTGAGACAGGGGCTGAAGCCTCTGGTCCAAGGTCTGGGCCTGCAACACAGCTCCCAAATTTCCTTCCAGGGGGAATCTGCAAGCTGAGGGACAGGGGTGACTGTGGTGACAACTGAGGGGAGAACTGTGACAGAAAAAGGGGAGAAAAATTCTCGAATGTTCTTCCTTCCCAGGGCCCTTCCTTTCCCTCAGTACCATTTTTTCTGCAGAGAAAGGGTCTTGCCTTGAAAATCTCTCAGCCCATGACCATTTCATGTGGCTTTTCTAATATTTCAGTGAGAGATTTCCGAGGCAAGGCTGGGTCAGATTGGAAAACCATTCATGGAGAGAAGGAAAAGGAACCCCTCGCTCAGCGCTGAGGGTTAAGTTTTCAGCTGTCTCACCCTCTTTGTCCTGGCTTGTTACAACAGGAAAGGGTTTTTTAGAAACTTTTCTTGTAACTCCAGCTTCCCTGTTTGGAAGTTTGGAAGGCAGGCAGCTCCGTTATGGTTTTCATTATCTGTGCAATAGGTTGAGAATCGATATTTCATTCAAAGAAGAGCTCTCTGGGCAGAGCTGCCCCGACTCTGAGAAAGCTGTGAAACAGTGGTGATGGATCTGCTCTGCCCTGCCTCGTGTGAAATGCTGAATGGCTGAGTAAGCCTTACTCATCTGGGCAGATAAATCTGTAGTGGGGCTGTATTTTTTATCAGCCGCTTCTCGTGAGTAAAGGCTGAGTAAGAGGCTGCAAAGCCGTGCTGCAGTCTGGAATATCTCGGAGGTTTTGCACAGGGAAGTGCTGCACCCACCTCCCCAGCAGAGCATCTCTTAGCAGGAGTGGATCACAGCTCTTTATTTCACTGACACGTAGATGGGCAAATGTTGGAACTCTGGTTTCAACTCACAGTATTCCAACAGGCAAATACTTCAGATTGTTGCTATTTTAGCAGTTCCTGGGAAGTGCACAAAGAGAAACATGAGGGATATTTTTTCCCTGATACAGGTACATGAACTGTGGATTTAATTATCTCCCTCTCACTAAATGGATGAACTAATTGCAGTCATCCCCCTTATAGATTTCACTTTCCAGACCCATCACCCATAACTTTTGGACTTCTCTTCCCCCTTTGGACAAACAGAACCACCCAAGAACAACTCACAACCAGCGTGATTGCCCAACTCGCCAGATTGCCCAAGGAACAGAAGCACTTGTCCCTGCTTCCCCCTCCCCACGCCGTCAATCCTGCGCCTCCTGCACTCACAAATGTGGTGCTCGTGAACCAGCTGCCCTCGGCCGTTGTGTTTATTGCCGCAACAAGCGGCACTTCCTCGCTGGGGACGCGGGCACCGGGCAGCCCCGGCAGTGCCAGGCGTGGCACTTGGTGCCATGGAGCAGCAGCAGCGTGGGGAGCCTGTTCTGGAGCCTCTGCGCCAGGAGGGAGCATTTGGGCACAGCTTTTCCACCCAGCGCTTAAAGACAGCTCGTGGCAGGCTTGGAAACTTTGCAAACAAATGAGGAGGAGGAGGAGGAGGAGAGTTTAAGCAACGAGGAGTGACTGCAGGCACTGGCATTGCTGTGGAAAGTAAGGAATCATATTTACAGCCTGCTCTGGACATTGTAAGGAGCTCTCTGGAGGCCGAGCCGCTTGGAGCAGTCCATCCCTCAGCAGCTCCAGGCTGACCTGCTGCTGATGGCCGCTGCCTCTCCCAGCTCTCATTTTTGGGTGTTTCAGGGGCTGCTGCAGCAGTGCTGGGTGCAATTCAAGGTGTTTGTGGCAATTCCTAAAGCCTGGGGGGCTGCATTCAGCAGTCACCTTGTTTTTCCAGCACACCACAGGCTCCCCGTGGATTTCAGCTGTTGTCCCTCCGAGGGCAGGGACAGTGTCCTGCTGCGGACACCTGCCCTGGAACCCAACACCCCTGCACTGTCCAGCAGAGCCGCGGCTTGGCAAACTTCAGGCTGTGCTTACAAGGCTGTTTTTGTTCCTGCGAGGCTCCCGGCCAGGCATTTCATCCTTATTTTCTTTGTCTTAGGCCACGTCCACTGTAGGGAGGACAAGCTGTTAAAAATCTTTTGGATTTCTGCATATTTCAACCCTGGCCAGCCTGACCAAGCTGCCACAGGTGACTCAGGGAGCAAAGCCGTGGATCCCACTGCAGCCAGGCTCGTCCTTCCCTTGCTTCCAGCCTTGCTCCAAAAGATCTTAGTCCAGGGATCAAAGCTCTTGTTTTGGAAGGCGTGTTTCGTTTAGTTAAAGAGAAGGATTTTGGGTTTAGGAGCGGTGTTGTGCTGTGTTTGCCTGGCTTCTCCTGCCTGCTAGGCTCGGGAGTTTGGGATGGGACACCCTGCACCTCAGCATTTCCCTTCACTCAAATAAAGAAAGGGACAAAAGGAACGAAACTTTTCCTCTCCGGTATTTTTTCTCACTGCCCGGGGCCTCGGCCATCAGCCCAAAGCACGGGAACGGGAGCGAGCGGGCAGCCGGCTCCCGCACCATCCCAAACCGCCGGTGAAGCCCCGCAAAAGCCTTTATCCCTGCCGAGGGAGGGTGAGGGCATGCCGCCGGCAGGTGCCGGGTGCCCGGGAGCGCCACCGGAGCGTCCCGGAGCCGCGGAACGAAACCGCACGGCGCTGCTGCCCGCGGCGCGGCCGTGCCCGTTCTGCACCGCCGTTCTCCCGGGAGGCTCCGCACCGCGAACCCGCGGACCCGGCGCCTTCTCTGCCCCCTCTGCACCGGGGAACCCGCCGCCTTCTCCCGGCACCCTTTACACCGGACACCGGGGGTCGCGGGGACCCGGCGCCTTCTCCCGGGACACGCTGCACCGAGTCCCCGAGGAGCCGGGGACCCTCCGCAGCGGGGGGCCGGTGCCTCCTCCTGGCACCCTCTGCACCGCGGACCCGGGGATCTGGCGCCTTCTCCCGGGACCGTCCGCAGAGGGAACTCGGGGACCCGGTGCTTTCTCCCCGGGACCCTCCGCACCGGGGATCCCGGGATCCAGGGACCCGGCGGCTTCTCCTGGCACCCTTTGCACTGAGAATCCAGGGACCCTCCGCACCAAGAACCCGGGGACCCAGGGACCCGGTGCCTTCTCCCAGGGACCCTCCGCACCGGGAATCCAGGGTCCCGGTGACTTCTCCCGGGATCCTCCGCACCGGGAAACCGAGGAGCCTCCGCAGCGGGCACGGGGGGACCCAGCGCCTTCTCCCGGCCCCCTCCTGGCAGCGGGAAGCCCGGCTCCGTGCGCCGCTCCGGAGCATCCCCGCTCCGTTCCCGGAGCATCCCCGCTCCATCCCCGCTCCGCTCCGGCCAAGGAAAACCCGGTCCCCGCGAGGCCCCGCCCCCCGAGCCCCGCCCCGTGCTGCGATTGGCTGAGAGCGCGCTGGGGGCGTGGCCGGCGGGGCCGTATTAAACGTGCCATGGCCGCCCGCAAAAAGGGGCCGCGGGCGGGCGGGAGCGCAGTGCGAGCGGAGCGGGCACCGGGCACGGCCTCGCCACGGATCTTACCCCTTCTCCGCACCGGCACCTCGCTGGCGGCCGCCGCAGGTAAGAGTCGCCTCCTTCCCCGCGTCTCTCCCCGAGGAGCGGAGGCGATGCGCGGCACGCGCGCTGTCGCGATACCCCCGCGATAGAAGCGTCCGGCTCGGAGAAGAGGGGAACTCCACTCCTGCCTTTCTCACGGAGCTATTCTCAGCGCCTAAAATAATTCGATAGGTATGGCTGGAGCGCCCGAGCATCTGCTTGCAGCATCTGTTTGTGCTCATAACTTTCCATGCACCAGCTGCTCCCCCCTTTTTTCTCCCCCCTCGGGATATTTTATCCTGGGGAAGGGCTGGAAGTTCGCATGACAACTCCGTGTCGCACAAAGCGCACCGCTCCATCCCTTCTCCTTCTCGCCTGTTGTTTCCCGCACGGAGATGGGGCAGAAGCGGCGAGTCTGGGCTCGGATGCGTGGGTTTGAGCGCCCGGGATGGTTTGGAGGGGTGTGAAATGAACCTGTAGCTTCATTCATCGGCATGGTGCGGACGGGAGGGCTTCTTTATTTCTGACCGCCCTGCCAAAAAAATGGGAAGCAGGAAAAAAAAAAAAAAAAGGAAAAAAAAGGAAAAAGCATTTGGGAAGGCAGCGAGGAGCTGTATTGTTTCAGCTTAGCTCATGACAGTGAAAGGAAAAAATACTGATAAGCAAAGGCAGATGGATTTGGGGGGTCAGTGACCGGGGCGGGGGCGCTGGGGACGCGCAGGTGCCGCTGGCCCGGCTTGAGCCGGAGCCGCAGCTCGGTCCCCGCAGCTCGGTCCCCACCCCGCAGGCTGCCCGCACTTGTCTCCGCGGCTCAGCCTTACCTTTGCACTTGTTTGCTTTTCCATCCCCGCGGCCGGTGCGCCGCGTACACCCCCTGGTGATGGCTGCTCCGCTCGGAGTTGTTTTGTCCCCAGCTACAAGCACCCCGAGCCCGTCTCCTTGGCAGGACGGCAGATGCGAGCGCCACTTGTCCTTCCCTTTCTCCTATTTCTTCGCACCCATTTCCCTGCATCATGTGGTCTTTTTAAATTTTTTCTCCCCCCTCCCGCTGCCTGCCGCTGAAGGTCAGATCCCTCTCCCGAGGCAGCTCCGTGTAACTCGAGTCGCGCCCGGAGCAGCGGAGGAGCCCTGGGGAATGACTTTTAAGGAGAAAGGTTACAGAGGTGGCCGTGCCCGGCAGCGAGGGAGCAGGAATGTGGGAACAGGCTTGGCTCAAAGCGGGGAGAAGCTGCTTTGTTCTGCTTTCCGAGGGCAGCAGGGAGGGCGCTTGGCTGAGGTGGTGCTGGTGCTCTCCTGGCAACATGTGCCCGGCTGGCTCCGCAGGGCTCGGTGGCGTCAGCCGGGGAATAACCGCTCCAGGCGCTGCCTGCTGCTCCTCTCCACCCTCCCCTGCTCCTCTGCGCTCCGGAGTTATCCCTCGGTCTTTACCCTTTGCCCAAATTCCCCTCCTGCTGTGCCTTGCGATGTCCTTCCCCAGGGAAGGTCTGCAGGGGGATGCTCAGGGGAAGGTGAGGGTTTGGGCTCCTCGTCGTGGCATTTCCCCAAATGCTGGCTCAGAAGTGCTGCAGATGCAGCGCAGCCCCGTTCTCCTCCCTCCTCCAAGCATCCCCTCGCAGCAGAGCCAGCCAGGCTCTCCCATCCCATCTCATCCCTTCCCAGTAATCCCGTGTCCCTGCCACTGCTGGTAATTCCAAGCTGTGTTGCTTATCTTCCCTTCTAGGCGGAAAGGTCACCTGGACTAATAATAATAATAATAAATATAATAATAATAATCATGACAACACTCCTGGTGATGGTTGAATTTATAGCTCTGTGTCTGGCTGCACTGCACTGGGCCCAGTTAGGCACATACTGGCAGTCCTGGGCTGGGTTGGTGGTGCTGGGTTGGCTCCCTCTGCCCAGTGAGGATTGCAGGGCTGCTCCCACACCAGCCTGGAATTTTTGGTGCCACCAGCAGCTGATGCTGGGCTGGAATGAGGGGCAGCAGCGTTGTCCAGCCTTTGAGCAGCAGGTGGATTGGCACAAGAAGAAGTAGCATTCGGTTTTCCTGCTGCTTTGTTCCTGGGATTTTTTGGGAACTTCTGGTGGAAGTGGTGGTGAGTGTTGGGGTGAGCACGGAGCAGGTGCTGGGGCAGCCAGTGGATGCACAGGGCATTTCACAGGAGCTGTATTTCTACGAGCAGGAGCAAGATCAGCCCCTCGGGCTGATCCCTGTGCATGGTGCTGCTCCTGCTCCCATCCCATCCTCTGTCCTGCCCCAGCCCTCGCAGGAAGAGAGGCAGTTTGTGCTGGAAAAACAGGCAGACAGCTCTGCTGCCCTGGAGTGTGCCAGAGCTTTGTGCTGTGAACTTCCAGCAGGCTCCAGAGCTGCCCCCAGGTTGACCCCCAGGTTTTGGGGTCCTTGGAACCAAAGGGGTGCAGCTGCACTCCCACAGCACAGCTAGCAAAGAGGGATCTGAGCAAGGGACAGGAGGGAAGAGGTGCTCAGTCCTGCAGGGAGGAATAGGAAAAATTCGGGTCCTAAACTTCTAAATGCAGCCACAGGATGCTGGTGTTAGGATTTCAGGGATTTGTGGAATTCAAACAAGTGTCCTCAGGTCAAGACTTTTGTGGGAGAAGCTGCATATTCACACACTTTAAATGTTATCTTTCCCTCCACCAAAAGTTTTCATCGAAAATCCGGGAAAGAAAAGGAAAAAAAGCAAACTCCAGAATAAACTGTTTCCTAGGCTGTGTGTTTCCATCAGCTTGGAACAAAACAGGCTTTGACTGTGGAAGTCGAACATGACCGTGATTATAGGATGTGGTTTATGAAAGTGATCGATTTGCAGAGCAGTGCAATGGCTTTTCAAGAAGTTTTTTTATGTGGGATGTATTAACAGTAATTTCACTTCCCCGCCGTGTTCAGGTTTCTAATGAAAACGGGGTTTTGGCCAAAACAAATCACTTAAGTGAGCGTTTAAAGAATTCTTTTGTATTTTTGAGCACGATATCCTGATGAGAATGAGAAACCCAGGGAACAAAAAGGTGTAAGAGGAGGGAAAAAGTGGATCCTTACACAGTGGAAGCAAGACATTATAAAAGTAAGAATAAGTGCCCAGAATAAGCACGGGGGCAGCTCCACCAGAAGTGTTCAGTGCTGAGAGCTGCACTCAAAGGGGCATTACAGAACCAGCAAGGAGCTGCCAAAATGTCTTGTCTGAGCTGAAGTCACAGATGACTAATCTTGGCAAGGAGGCATCGGGACACATTCTTGCACAACAAACAGGAGCGAGGGGAAAAGAGGAGGTGAAAGTAAACCCTGAGGAGATCCTGGAGGGAAAAGCAGCCTGCACACACAGCTGATGATGTTGCTGTTTGTCACCTGCTCTTTTCCTAACAAGTGTTTGCTGAGCTCAAGCCTGTGTAATGTGGCTGAGGGATGTGAGAGGGCTTGAGGAGTTGTTTGAAATCGCTCAAGTTTTTGGAGCACCTCGGCAGGGCTTTAGGGGCTGCTCTTCTTGGGAAAGGAGATAACATCTCCAGCTGTTGTGAGATTCCAGTCAGAGAAGAGCAGAGGTCCTGCCGGGCAGGGGTTGTGCTCCACAGTGGCTGCAGTTTTGTTGGCTTTTGCACAATCTCAGATGAGTTTTGATAACATTAATTTACGAAGAGCGCCGTGATTTAATCTCCTGCTACTGTAAATGGTTCTGGAGCCTCCCGTGCCGTGCCAAAGGGACAGCAGACATTCCTCTCCACCTGGGTTTAGCTCTATTCCCTCCGTGGGCCGTGTGTGGCCGGAGCAGTTGCTTTAATGCATCTCTTCTCCTCTGCAGTATTTCAATTCCATTTCCTGATATGCAGTACATGACTTAATGGATGACGCACTTGTTAAAAGCTAGACCTGGGTCTAAGCCAGACCTCCCTGAAACAAGTTTTTGGTGGCTTCTCCCCACAGGAAGGAGATTTTGTAGCTTTTCTGCTGAGTCTTGATTGGTGACATTTCAGAGTGACGGGACCCTCAGGACTGTGACCCGCTGGAGATGGAAGGGGCTGCCTCGGCCTCCCAAGGGGAAGGTGCTAGAGCTCGCTCCTAAAGGTTTTAGGAAGGCACTCAGCTGATTCTGCTACCTTTTACTGGTGGCTTTAGCAGGAGCAGATGAGACGTTTGAAAGGTTTAATTGTTTTTGTACAACTTAGGCCGGACTTGAGCGTGAAAAATACAAAGATCCTGATGAGTTTGTGGAGTTAGAGAGAAGCTACTGCAGCCCTTGTTCTTGAAATTTGCTGAGAATGCACAACTCCTTCTGTTAGCTTAATTAAAACAATTGTATGTGCTTTAATTTCATGGATCACTGCTATCTGCACTTCCCAAGTTACTTCCCTGTCTGCACCTTCCCTTTTGCTCACTCCCTGCTTTGTCATGGGTCAGACAGTCCACGAGACACATCATTAGTTGCTACAAACCACTTCGGTGTTTGTGTTTGAACAGAAGGATGTTAAAGGGAGTTGTTTGCTTCAAAATAAGCAGAAATCACAGTTATAAATAGCAGAGAGATCCTTTGCGTGCCCAGCTTTAAAGTGAATATTGCTCAGGCTGGTGTGACAGGATCCCCTTCAGTGCTTTCCTTCGGGAAGGGCAATTCCTTCCCTGCAGTAGCCATGTGTGACCCCTGTCCATGCACAGCTGTGAACGCTGAGCATCGCTGAAAATGTCATTAAAAAAGAGGAAACTTCCTGCAGGCCCACAGGTGTCATTTTCATTGATCCCTCATGCTTTTCCTCCAGAATCTAAAGTGCCATTTCTCTTTCTCTTGCAGACCATGCCCTCCCTATGACGGTGGCTTGCTGAGCTCACCCTGCATGCCAGAAGACCGTCCTTGGTTGATCCGAGGGCTTCTGGGGACTCCGGCCTCCGCCCGGTTTTTCCGCGTGTGTGTGTTCCTGTAGAACTTTCAAAACTGTTTCTCCAAAGGGTTTTGCAGAAACTCAGACTGTTTTCTAAAGCAGAAGCACCTCAGTCCCCGGCAGTAGTGATGGGCAGCGTGCGAACCAACCGCTACAGCATCGTGTCTTCGGAGGAGGACGGCATGAAGCTGTCCACCATGGCCGTGGCCAACGGCTTCGGCAACGGCAAGGGCAAGGTCCACACCCGGCAGCAGTG